TCAATGCAGAACATCACAGTAACTTGTATGAGCGTTTTTACTTCCTATCTTTGTTGGAATGAAGGTTTCGAAAGCTGACCTACATAAATTAAGTGGCGCTAAAAGTAGAATCTTTCCAGCATTCAAGAACTAAGAAAATCAACATATGTTTTCATTGTAAAAATGTTTTCCTTTCTTATACCACCCGGTTTCATTTGTTACACTGCGGTCTAACTATGTATATTTATGAAGAAATTCTGAATGATTTCGTTTTTCTTGATAAAATCAAGTAGCGTTTTTACTTCCTATCTTTGTTGGAATGAAGGTCTTTTGAATTTTGCTGCTTTTGCCCATGCGAGCAGCCTAAGCTGCATTTCGATCACAGCTGAATAGGACTCTTCCGATCGTTTTCAAAATTAACGGTTTTCCCTTTTTCTTATATCTGCATGACTGTTTGCTGTTATTTTACCTTAAAATTCTCGTAGTAGTTTGTCTGATGTTCGAGATAAACGACTGTACCAAAGCCTCCTCACGCTGCACTGTATAGACGTTTTGTTCATGCCAATCCAGCGTCAATGATGACAGTAGAAAAGTTTGTTAATTAATTACGTTCATAGCAAATCTATCCATTTTCTGTTGCTCACATTGCCGTACTTTACCTTATTTTCCCTGAGGGCACGTTCAATCACTCTTCTGTTCCGTATATCCGCGGTAATGAGTCTATATCGTGAGGATTCGATAATTTCCTCGTCGACGTAATAGACATCCGAGTTCAAAATCAACTTGTCCACGTTTACAATATTCATGTGTGGCCAAATGCGATAAATATAGTTAATGAAATTGGAACCAATGAATCCACAACCACCAGTAACCAAGATTTTGCGCGGCACGTGCGACGACATTATTTTCTGAACTCTTGAAGAAACTGTAAAAAACAATACAGTAAAAATTTTTATGGGATGAGTGTTTATAAGTGTGGATCACTGTGTGGCGTAGTGCCAATTAAGTAAATGACAAGTTTTATGCCTTACTTACTACGACGCAGATAATAACAATAATACACAAAGCGTGACGCTTGGGCTCTGACGAACGGGATGGCCTGCTCAGCAATGGATTTAGCAAAGGGGGTTACCGAGGTCGAATAGTTCTGGCTTCGAGATGAAGGTGTCCGAATTCCATTAGTGTTCGAAGATTGCGATGGTAGGAGTCGCAGCTGGCAAGCCGGGGATGATGTCGGTCGAGAAGACTGAAGTCGACGAAGAAACCGAGCCACGAAGGATAGGGAGGTTTATAAAGGGAGTGAGGACCGCCCCAACAGAGGAT